TTTTTAAGTGAAATTAAGTCTCTAGAACACACCTGCACAACTACAGCACAACTACAGTTTGTTTGCTGAATTTAACAAACAGGAAGGAAAAATAATATGGAAAATGTGGTCTGTGCCATGTTTTATTTATTTCCAGTATGTTGAACTGTGTGATATGTTAAACAGTCATTTCAAACAACAAAAACATGGAATTTGCAAACTTTTGCAAACTTTTCTTAACTTTTATAAGTATTATAAGCTGGAACAAACTAGGGCTCAACTAATATGAAAAAAAAAAATTCTGATTTAAAGTGCTTAAAATTTCAGATAACCGACAATGTCATCTAAAATACTTTTATATTTGTATTTTAGATTGTACTTTTACACTTCAATAGTTCAATCAATTAGTGCTTCGCTGACAAATCTGATTTTATTTGTCAGATGGAAGTAACAGAGAAGTAATGAGTAATGAAATTACTTTTTCCAGAAAGTAATAAGTAAAATATAACAATTTGGGAAAATTCATTAAGAAATAGAAAGTAGAAGAACAGAAATGCAGAAGTAGAAATTTGCAATGGATTACTTTTACCACGCTGACACTGTTAAGAGTGCACACAAACATACACACACATTTCCAGTTTTAACCATTACAGAACTCTGAGCCAGCGCAGACAGCGTTTCACAAAATGTCAGCACTTTCTCTGCAGACTGAAGTTTCTCTGCAGAGCGGCTGCTGCTGAAGGCATGTTGCTTCTGAGTTACATCAGAACTCCACATCCAACACACACACACACATGCAGGCACTGTGCAACCCTATTTAAGTTTAATCATGCCTGTTCTACTTTGTGAGTCATATCTGTGAGAGGCTCTGCCGGCCCTGATCTGAGGACAGCCCTGGAGACTTAAAGCTGCTTTAGAACTTACAGCCTCCAACTCCAACTCTCTCCCCTGACTTACTGTCATGTGAGCACGTGGGTGATGTTATTGTGAGGCATGGAGTGACACAGTGCATCATCCAGCTCACACATACTTCTTAAGCCGCTTTTCAACAGCATGGTACTGTCTCAACCTCGACTTCACTCTACCCGCGTTTGGTACCAGCTACTTTGTAAAAATAATGATAAAAATAAAAACTCAACTGTGAAAACACCCTAACATGCCAATACCATTTCAGGGTCACTGCTGTGCTGAGTCATCACCCAAATACTATCTGGTCATTGGCAGGGTTATTACAGTTTTGGCATTTTCATTAGCTTTTATTTTATTTAGTTCTTCATTTTGATTTTTGATTTCAGTTAGTTTGAAGGGGGCATTTATTTAGTTTTTTATTTTCCGAAAAGTTATAGATTCAGTTTAAATTTTATTTAGTTTAAGTTTTAGTTTTTAGTATTATAACAAACGCTGTGAAAATTATTAAAATATTAAAATTATTTTTTTCTCACTAATTCTATTTAGTTCTAGTCAATTTTGCACTGAATATTATCTTGTTGATTCAGTTTTTGTGTTTTTTTATTTTTATTATAGTTAATGAGTAGTTAACATTTTTTCATTTCAGTTTTCATTTTAGTAACAGTTTTAGTTCTAAAACTATACCTGTAATAACCCTGGTCATTGGTGATCCTATGGTGGTCCCTTTCTAATGATAATGGGGTAGAGGGGGGCTGGTAAATTGTGCAGTAGCAGATGGGTTATAGTCAGCAACTGTACACTTAAAAGGTGCTATATAGTAGGAGTATCTGGGAAAATGGCAGCTCAGTGCAGTCCAATTTATATGACTTACGATTGGGATACACTGATATAGGAGTTTTGGGCCAATATTGATAGCTGCTATTTTCCATGAACATAGAGGTTAATTCAGATACATAAACATTTCTAAAGTGTAGAAATTGGGACGTGATCCACCTGGATTGGTATTGTAGAGAAAAATAACATTAATTTCTGTAGGGTCACGAATCCAGTAAAATGAATAAAATGTAGATAATTTATCACAGAAGCCCAGCTTCACCAAAACATTCCAGAGCTAAATACAACGCCATTTCCAAAAAAGTTGGGACACTGTGCAAAATGTAAATAAAAACAAAATGCAATGATGTGCAAATCATTTAAACCCTATATTTCAATGAAAAACAACAAATCAAATGTTGAAACTGAGAAATATATATAATATATGCCAGTTTTGAAATTGACGCCAACAACACGTTCCAAAAAAGTTTCCCACCGTGTTTCATCACCTCTTCTTTTAACAAACACTGTAACTTTTTTTGTAACTGAAGAGACCAACTGCTGTTTTAAAAGTGATATGTTTTCCCATTCTTGCTTAACATAGGATACCATCATGAATACTGGCTTTTGAACTGTGCACTGATAACAAGCTGAGTGGTCTTTGGCACAGAGGACACAGTGTCCATGATTTCCAAAAAGAATTTGAAATGTTGATTTGTCGGACCACCGGACACTTTTCCACTTCCCCTCAGTCCATTTTAAATGAGCTCGGGCCCAGAGAAGGTGGCAGCATTTCTGGATCCTGTTTACATACAGTTTCTTCTTTGCGTTTTAGAATTTTAACTTGCATTCGAGGATGCAGCGACAAACTGTTTTCACAGAAGTGTTTTTCAGAAGTGTTCAAAATGGGCATATATTAAAAAAAACAAAATTTCTCAGTTTCAACATTTGATTTGTTGTCTTTGTACTATTTTTAATTAAATATAGGGTTTAAATGATTTGCACATCATTTGCCTTTTGTTTTTATTTACATTTTTCACAGCATCCCAACTTTTTTGGAAATGGGGTTATAAATACATCATCAAATATGAGTTTGAAATATTATCCAAATCTAAACGTGTCCAATGCCGATATTTTTTTTTCAAAACAAATATCATGCACCCCTACTTACTATGAAACATAATACAGAGATAGAGAGCCAGTAATAGTCTAGTCTAGTCTAAGTAGTAGTACAGTCCTGCCACGTGGTCTATGTATGTATTTTCTCTCATTCACCTCTAAGAATATGCCCTTCAGTCCGGCTCTAAAATAGTGCAGTGGGAATGCCAGGAAGCTAAAGGCTGTCCATCACCCAGCCACCGCACCGGCCTTGGCTGACTTTGGCCTCTCTCATTAATAATCTATGTCAGGTCTGGCTGGGTGTCCAAATGTCCGTTTTCACCACTGCAGGTCAGAGCTGCTGCACTGACAGCTCCAACCTTCCTTCAGGCTTGAACACGCACACTCACTCTGGCTGTCTACACCAGGCTTTAATCTAGCTAATGCTGCGCTCAGTTCAGCTGGCCTGACAGACATAAAATAGCTAGAACAGCATGTATAGCAGCGCAACGACTCGACAACATCATGTCCATCCATGTACTCCGGCCTGCCATTTGTCAATCAAACCTAGCGTAGGACAAGGGCCGAAAGAGATCTCTGCTCCCTCATTAGCACGGCGGAAAACTATCATTTTTCTAGCCAGCAGTAAAAACATGCAGATCAATAAATGAATGGACACTTTCTTAGCCTGTGTCAACACTCACCAGTTGCATAGACCAGAGGTCACTAATAGGAGGACTGCGGTCCGAGTCCGGACACACACGCTGTCCTTTGCGGACCTGGACCTGTAACCGATAAACTATGGAGAATTATTTAATTTTGATGGGGTGGTCCTATTTTAATCGGCGTAGCTTTTCTAGCCTTTACGGTAGCTTTAGTGGCCCGGGAAACTCAAAGACCAATCGCATGTGTTGTAAATATCACATGTGACGCTACTCAGCCAATCAGATCTGTGTATTACGATGAGCACTGAGACTCAAGTGAGGGACGCACACACAGGGGAGGGACGAGGCGAGAAACAGCAGTCAGAGAAGAAAGTGAGTCAGAGGGAAGTTATTTCACATGGCGCGCTCTAAAAAGAGAAAACTGACAATAAATGTTGAAATATTGCTGAACTGTACTTTATTTGGTTTGACATTCAGTTGTTGACTGTATAAGATGTTAATACCTACTAGGCTACTTCAGTAAACAGTATATGGCACTGAATCATAATACAAGTCAGACATTATGACGTTCTGGACCTTTGCTTGAGGAAATTTTCTCTAACTGGACCTTACTGAATTTTAATACCACTGGCATAGACTTTTTTTAGAGTCAGAATGTCAAGACACATTCAGCTGTGGGATCATGGGATTTTATAGTGCCCTCAAGATCAATCTAGAATTCTATTTTTTTTAACGATTCAGAGTAAAACAGCTTACTCAGTAGTGTCCTTAAAACAGGCATCCATTTCACTCAAATCCCAAGTGTCTAATTTATTGTGTTACACATGCAACAAAGACGGTAATTCAAGGCATCAATTTTGGAATGCTTTAGACTATTATTATCAACTATAACAATACTTAAAAACATATGTGCTCATTTTTGGCCAAAATAAAAATTCTCGGGCTATTTACAAAATAAGCTTGGTGTGTTGTTTTATTATCTGTATTCCACTGCTGATTAAAGTCAATGGGAACCGGCTATCTAAGCATTTTTTCTTCCTTAATGTGACATATCTCTGAGTGAAACACGATATTCATTTGGGAAATAATGATGGAAGTAGCTTGATTTTATTCATTCAGAATAGTTTGATGCGACATGGCTCACTGTACAGAAACTGACTGACAATTTCTTTACAGTGGTGGTGATAGGAACCAGGGGTCGCCATGACTACAACACAAATGTAGACATTTTATTTACTATCCAAAACCACCAGTGAACCTACATGTAATGTAGACAATTATAAAATAGTGATAAGAAGACGTTTTCTTTGGGGACTGTTTTGCTTCACAGTGCCCTGTATGTACTCCTCCTCCATAATGCGAATTAGTCCAAGAACCTAAACTATGGGCAAACAAGAATTTTGTCTTTTAAATCATAAGATATCATGAATCGTACTCAATCTAACCAAAAATATGATCAAACAAACAGTGCATTTTGATTTCAGGATGACTCTAAATACTTTGTCTGTTTGTCTGTTGTACTTTTGTGTTTCTCAGCGCTGCTCTGCGTGTTGTATCTGCTGGTCATGCAGCTGCAGCCCTGCTCCGGCTGCCCGTCTGTATGCGTATGCAGCTCATCCGAGGCAGACTGCAGTGGCCGCGGCCTGGTGGCGCTCCCCGCCCTGTCATCGCTCCCGTCATCCACGCGCACCCTCCTCCTGCCCAACAACCGCCTCTCCTTGCTGCCCACCGCGGCCTTCACCAACCTCAGCTCCCTTGAGAGGCTGGACCTGTCCAACAACTACCTGGACAACCTGCCAGCCGGCTTGTTTGCTGAACTGGCCAACCTGAGCGATCTCAGCTTGAGGAACAACAGCCTTACGGCACTGGACCGTGACCTCCTGCAAGGCCTGGGAAGCCTGCGGAGGCTGGATGTGTCTCTGAACGGCCTGGCTGCCGTGCCACTGGGTCTGCTGGACCAGCAGCAAGGCCTGACTTGGTTGTCCCTGGCCGGGAACAGGCTGCAGGCGCTGGAGAGGGCCGCCTTTGAACCGCTGGTTAACCTGCAGCACCTGGAGCTGGGCTCTAACCCGTGGGAGTGCGATTGCAACCTGCGCGACTTCAAGCACTGGATGGAGTGGTTAATCTACCGAGGTGAGAACAAGCCTGGCATGGTTATTACATAATCGCCTAATCACAATAATTTGAGATGATCACAATTATTTGAGATGATCGCAATTATTTAAGATGACTGTAGTCATTTTCCACAGTCATTTTCAATTTCACAGTCATTTTATGCTGCAACAAACAAATCAGACAAATAAATGTAAATAAAAGAAAGCTGTAAACGCATCCATTGAGACATCGTGGATTATGAAAACATAAAAAGCTCTGGTTATTGATATGTTAGCTACGTAGCTAATTCTCATGGTTTAGCATGTACGCTGGCAGAATACGTTTTTTTTTCTTTGGATATATTTTCACTCTCATGAAGAACATGTAGCTCTGTAGTAACATATTTGCTTTGTTTCTTCGTAAAGCCTATGAAATTGCACACATTGTCTACATGTACCTGAAACCAAGCTGGCTTTACGTTATTTGGAATGTTCAGTCTGATCGGGAATGTTGTGCATGCATACAGCTTTTTGATCGGACGTATGGTACAAGTCCATACAAGTCCATTAGTCACACCATATTAACCCAGTGAAGTACCATAGCAACGACCTAGTGACCCTTAGCAACCATCAGGGATATCATAGCAACCGCCTAGTAGCAATCTAGCAACCAACTGGGGTACCACAGCCACCACCTAGCAGCACACTAGCATTAGCAACCACCTAGCAACACCTTAGCAACCACTTCTAATAACTAAGCAACCACCTAGTAACACTAGCAGCAAATTGGGATCCTACTGCAACCACCTGGCAGCACCTTAGAAACCACTTGGGAAATCGTAGTAACCACCTATGCAACACCTTAGCAACTACATAGGACACCATAACAACCTCACAGCAACACCTTAGCTACCACCTGGGAAATAGAAGGAAACTCTTAGCAACACCCTTGCAACCACCTGGAACACCATTGCAACCACCTAAAAACACCCTAGCTCACACCTTAGCAACTACATAGGACACCATAACAACCTCACAGCAACACCTTAGCTACCACCTGGGAAATAAAAGGAAACTCTTAGCAACACCCTTGCAACCACCTGGAACACCATTGCAACCACCTAAAAACACCCTAGCACACACCTAGGACAACAACCACTCAGCAACACCTTAGCAGCTACTTGGGACACCGTAGTACCACCTAGCAACAACTTGGTAACCAATTAGGAGAGAGCTGCGTTCCAAAGCCTGGGCTGTGTGGGTTTCTCAGCAGCTACGTCACGGAAGGCCTTCCAAAGTGAAGAACCCTTAGTATACAGCCTAGACACGCAGCCTATGTTCAGAGTGATTTCGGGGACGCATCAGATGCATCCTCCCTTCGGTTACCCACAGTTCTCTGCGCACGAATGACGTGAAGGAAAAAAAAAAACAGCACTACGAAGACGGCGGAAAACAAAGCCGTTGGAGCAGCAGAGCTGATTTTAAAATGTAAGCTGTTCACGTCCCTGAATTCGACTTCGTTACCTTATAAAGTACAAAATGACTGATTAGTTAAATCATTCGTCCATATAACGTATATCATCCATAGAATGTATTTTATTTGGATGTATTTGTGTATTTGTAGTTCATCGTACTCCATTTCCGCAAATAAAAGGGAAAAAACACAACGCAGCGGCTCCATTTTCTCTCATGAGTGTCGCGCCACTCTGGTGACGTCACCACGCAGCCTCGTTAGGACTGTGACCAATAGGCTGCTAAGGAGGAGTCTTCATAGGACAGTCCTACTGAGGACCCGCCCTACCTCGGCTGCAGCCTAGGCTTTGAATCACAGCTAATGTGTTTGTATTAAAGACTCCACCCTAAGACCTTTTTTCCATTAACAGCTGAAACGCACTGCACTGTAACAATAAAATATATCAGCCTTGCTTAAAACGTGAACACATCTTTCCAAACTGTAAAAATATCATTTTATCATATTTATCCTGGTAGCTAACGTACGCTAGCTCTAAAACACAGCAGCCCAGCCCGCCCAGTTTCCCTCCCAGCCCCACCTCCAAACCCAAACATCACTGCAGTGCCCCTCCCAGCGTGCCCCTCCCATTTTTGAGCATTTTTCAAATCGTGCCGGGGTGGAGTTAGCTGAACATAGTGGGGTGTAGTTCCTCTTTAACATTTTCTCTTTTGCATCCTTCTCTCCCACTTCATCCCTGCATCTTTACACCCACATGTCCTACGCCACAAGAGTTCACGCCGTTCTGTGTAGAAAGAGCAATAAAAGCAGAAGTGAATCTAAAGGGCCTAATCTCAGAGCTACTTCAGAAGCAGGCATAAACATAATAACACCCACATCCACGCACTTAACACTGTCAATCAGACTTAAGACGCTTTGGAGTGATATATATAGTGACAGAGCTGTAATAAGAGCACAGAAACACTCACTCATGCAATAACCGTGTGGCTGAAAGAGAATCCCACCAGTTTTTCAAAATTGCTGCATAATTCAGGGTATGAGATGTAAACAGAGTCATTCAGAGTGGTTTGGTGTGACTCAATGGTGGTGATAGGAACCAGAGATCGCCATGTTTACACTCTTAAAATAGTTGTTTCTTCAAGTTTTCTTTAGTACAGACAAAGAACCTTTTTGAAAAGCGTTCTACAATGTCAAGGTTACAAACAGGGTTGCAATGTCAAGCTTGTAACAATAGAAGAACCTTTTTTAGTGCTATACAGAACCATATACAACACATTCTCCATCAATCTGAAGACCCATTTCACCATACAAAGAAACATCTGCAAATGGTTCTTTGAATGTTCATGGTTGTATACAGAACCGCTGTCTTTACTAAAAAAACCTTGAATAACCACCTTTTTTAGAGTACAAGCTTGACATCGTAACAATAGACAAACCCTTTTTGATGCTATATAGAACATATATATAGAACGTTCTATGTAGAACCACATAAAACACATTCTTAGTCAATTTGATCCCTCAATTTGAACCATCATTTTTAAGCGGGACAACACAAATATAGCCATTTTATTTAGTACCAAAAACCAACAGTGAACTTACACGTCTTCTGAGTTTTATATGGAATGTTAATGGTAAAATAAAAGAACCATTTAAGCATGAAATGGTTCTATATAGAGCTTATGGTTCTTAATAGAACATTTACTTTATTAAAGAAACCTTGAAGAACCATCTTTTTTATAAGCATATATAATGCTAATATGTGCTGGCAGATCAACCATCCATGTTAGTCACAATAAGGATTTCAATTCACTCCACTCATTAAAAAGTTCAGTTACGTTACTGTGTGGAAATATTAGCATGTTCCTATGATTTTTATGAAATCAATCAACGCTGAACGATGGCTTGTTAAATCCGCGGTAAATCAGTTTTTGCCGTGACTGGGGCTGTTACCACTGTATATCAGTAAACCGTCGCCAGGCGCAGGCCTACACATAATGCCTTGAAATCATCATACTCCGCTGTCAGGGATTACGTAGCGGCATTCTGTGAGTGCATGTGTGTGAGCTCCCCTCCCCTCTTCCCTTCTTCTATTTACAGAGCTGAAATGCACACAATCATCTCGCCTTCAGGCCAGACACATCTATACGACAGCTAGAGAAATCATCTGAGAGGGGAAAAAAAATCATCTTACATCAGACACTGAAAAGCTGTTGAGTCACTATGCTCCAGTGCATGTTTGTGTTTGTGTATGTGTCTAGCAGGCCACACACTGGCAGAGCTCTATATGCATATCACACATATCAGAACCTTAAATCAAAACCTTTTTTAACACCATCTGAAAACACCAGCTGCCCTTTTACATTGCGTTAACAGTTTAGCTCAAGTGGACAAACAGAAATGAATCAAATTACTTCAATTGCTTAAATAAAATATCATTACATTTTTATACCTTGCGGTCCTTGTTTCTACACTCATTGGCCATTTTATCAGCTCCACTTACTATATAGGTGCAGCAGATGAGCTATCGTCTCTGACTTTACATCTACAAGGTGGACTGACAAGGTAGGAGTGTCTAATAGAGTGGACAGTGAGTGGACACAGTGTTTAAAAACTCCAGCAGCACTGCTGTGTTTGATCCACTTGTACCAGCACAACACACACTAACACACCACCACCACGTCAGTGTTACTGCAGTGCTGAGAATGATCCACCACCCAAATAGTACCTGCTCTGGGGGGGTCCATGGGGGTCCTGACCACTGAACAGGGTAAAAGGGGGCTAACAAAGTATCAGAGAAACAGATGGACTACAGTCTGTAACTGTAGAACTACAAAGTGCACCTATATAGTAAGTGGAGCTGATAAAATGGACAATGAGTGTGGACACAAGGAGGTGGTCATAATGTTATGCCTGATCGGTGTATATAGCATACAGTCAATTAGCAGGGGCAATAAAGTGTTTTGGTTCAGTGTGTTTCCATGTCCATATCAGTCTAAGCATGTTGTCATTCTGTAGCCCAAGGAAGCTTTTTTCTTTTTTCTAACCATAGCTGTGGTTGTTAAACAGATAAAGCCGTGCTGCAGCTTTCCATGCACAGAACAGTTTCCCTCACAAAATTTCAGTGAGGGCGTAAATGATTTTGATGATGTGGTAATATCAAAGTTAAAGTGACACTACGTAAGATTTTTAACTGAAGTATCATTACTGAGCCAGGATAATAAAAACAGGCTAAAATGCACTGCTGTGAATCACCCTGTAAAGCCTGATATATTTATTTCAGTCAGAGTCACTGGGTCAGATTTGGCAGGAGTTTTTCAGATAAACATTAGATTCATCTGTTTGGGGAAGCCCACATATCCATACACCCAAATCTTACATAGTGCAGCTTTATTTAAATGAAAAAAGGCAAACCCTATTCTTCTTATTAATAGCCTAATGACAATAAAAATAATAATATAATAAAAGGCTACAATAACAGTAGCCTAGAGGCTGATTTCACAGTAAACTTTAGCTGTTTTATTTGAACAAAAACTATTTATATGCTGTAGACGTGCAATTTGTTAAACCTATAGCAAAACCATACCAAGAAATACCAAACCACACCAAAAATGACCAAAAGATACCAAACTATAAGAAAGAACAAAGTTAGCTGACAATTGTCTAAGCAAAAACTCGTGTTTTTGTTGTCTTTAAACAGATTCTGTGTGGTATTACCACATGACCTACATGGAGCCGCCCGTCAGTATGTATTTGCAGCTCTTTTTTAAGAAAATGTATTCTGGTCTCACAGGAGACCAACACGGCAAAGCGTCTCTCTTTCTTTTGTTTTTGCTTTTTCAGAAAGCAGCTCTCGCTTGCCTGCCACTCTCCAACCAACCCCCCCAGCTTTTCGCCTGAAATTAATGTATTGTAATATGTGCTGACTCACTGTCTTCTACAAAGTTTTTTCTCCTCAGTCAATGTGGGGCTAAAATGACGTAATGGGGCAATATGAGGCAATTATAAGAACAGAGAAATATCTTTGTAGTTAATGCCAGCTAGATTAGTTAGCCTAGTTACAGCCACACTATCTCTGCCTTCTCAATCATACCCTTAACAATGTGGTCATTCTTGGCAACAAGCTCACGTTAAGGCACGCATGTTTAGTGGTAGCAAAGAACCATAACCAGGTTTTCCATCATAGAGAAGAACCATTAATAGAGTCAAATGGTTCTTCGTCATGGGTCTATAAGTATTGCCTTTACTAAAGAGCCCTTAAAGAACCACCTTTTTTAAGGGGTTTTGTTGATGATATAGTGTAGTGGGCTGCTCACCCTCTAGTCATTTCCGGCTAGCTGCTGATGTTTTGGAGGATTCGGAGTGATACTTCAGATTAATTACCGAATGCTACTGTTTACTGTGAAGTGGTGTAATTTCATCTCTTTCTTTCGCAGGTGGCTATGTTGATGCCATGGAGTGCACCCTCCCCAAAGACCTGAGAGGGCGGGACATCCGGAGTGTACCCGTGGAGATGTTCAACTACTGCCTGCAGCTGGAGGATGAGAACGGGGGTGGGTCCGGAGGGACGAAGGGCGGCTCTCCCCCATGCGTGCGGGCCACGGCGGCGCCAGCCTCCGAGAGCACAGTGGTGCGGACGGAGACCGAGGCGCCGGACTGCGTGAGGCAGCGCTATCGGCCTGTGAGCGTGCGACGGGCCATCGGCACGGTGGTGATCGCCGGCGTGGTGTGCGGCATTGTGTGCATCATGATGGTGGCGGCGGCCGCATACGGCTGCATCTACGCCTCCCTGATGGCCAAGTACCAGCGCGAGCTGAAGAAGAGGCAGCCTCTGATGGGCGACGCCGAGGCAGAAGCCGACCCCGAGGAGAAACAGATCTCATCGGTGGCGTAGAGCAGGGGAAGAGGGGTCGGGGTTCAGAGACAGGACTGTATGCTCTGGAATCGAAACCGCACGGTGAGAAGGAGACAGCAACTTTTACTGAGGCTGACTGAGGCTCGTTTCTGCCCTACCTACGTTCCTCTCTGCTCTCCCAAAGACTAGCTGTAGACATTCTCCTCATGCTAACACTCGGATGTAAAGGACCCCTGCTCTAACGCCTTTGCCCTCTGTCCTTGGATCACAGCCCACCCCCCTAGAACCAGAGGCTCAATCAGCACTTTAAAACTTCACCCCTTCGTCTCGGCCCTGGTCTTGGAAGGAAGGATTTCAGAGAGGAAAAATGAACACCTGCTCTTTGATTGCTCCTCTATGCTGTACTCCTCTAGTGGCTAACATCAGCATCTGCACTAGCAGCTGCATCAACCTTGTCCCCGCCCTAAATATACCCACTTTACCCCACGGAGACTCTATTTTGGTGGTAATGACATATCATGTTATTAATATCCTCCATGTTATTCAGAAAATAATATATATTCTAAACAATGTGAGGTGACCCCCACTTCTCCTGGTCTATCTCTGTGTGCTTCTGCTTCCATACCCAGTATTGAATTGTGTTTAGCACACCATTCTGTTCCATTTGTTTGGATTCACTATTAATGTATGCTGCTCTCCTTGTGAGTATTATAGGAAGCGATATTTGTTTGGGTTGGTGGTGCAGAATTTGTTGAATAATACTTGATGTGTGAGTCAAGTCTTGGCATTTAGAGTAAAAGCGTATTGAGAACTTGTGAGAGGTCTGGGTGAGCTCTTATCCTTACAGAACCTGTGGCTAAAGCTGGGTGGGAGGCCACTTCAAGGCCTTTATTTCTGGAGAGGAGAAGATTAACCAGTTCTTAAAATGATTGCTGTGTCACTGTATGAATACAGAAACAGGGAGAGCAGAATGGATAAAAGTGTTGACTTGATTAAGACGGTTTTCCACACATTATTTACCAATATGTTTGTATGTTTTGTTTGTTTCATTATGGATTGGAATGCCACTAGCAATCAGAACAGTCCGATGTGTTGTTTCCCATAGGAAAGTGGAATATATTGCAAGTGGCAAAGTTGTCAATATATTCCAAACACGAGTAGAATATATTATAATACATTTTAACATGTTACATGTGTGTATGAGTTTGAAATATGTACAAAGAAGAGAGGTTGGATAGTACTGTGTGCTCAGTTTTGTACTGTTGGACCAATTAATATAACCACGTTTAGCCTAATAGTAAGGTTATGATAAAGATTTTTAGATTATAGGTCCAAGCTTCCTTAAAGATCTTCCAAATATCAGTATTCAAAAAAACACTACAGATAACTACAGCATTAGACTTTTTCCTAAAAGGAAACCTAGCTTCTGCAGTGTGCTGGGATTAGACGAAGATCTTAGACAAAGATTATTCTAGAACAGATTATTCCTGTCATATACTTTGCGGTTTAAGCTTCCATACATTAGCATCCATCACGCTGGAAAGAGACAGATAAAGTCAGATGGGAAAGAGAGAGGGAGAGGGAGAACATAAGGCTAAAAATATTTGCAGTAACTGTGACCTTATTGTGTCATTTCTTCAATTCTTTATCTTTATCTCACTCTTAACTCTGCTGACCTAACTCAGAGACTAGCTATAGCTGATTTTGTCTAATTAAATTTAAGTCCAAACAATTCAAACTAAATATTGGTTCACAGTACAAGCAACTAAAGTGTCATTTTCTCCCTGTGTTTGATACAGAATCACCATCTTCATCTGTTGTGAGTTTTGTCGTAATTGCTATTTTGGGAAGCCACAAATAAGTGCAGATAATGCAACATACGAGCAGTCCAAACCTCACTAGCTCTATCCCGTTTAGCTAAGTGTCAGAGTTAGGGATGTTTCGGTCACGATCGAAATGAAAATGAAAATGTAATAGTCCCTCAATCACATCCCGCTGTCTAGTCCACTGCATCTGAAGTAGTCCACTTTGGCTACGTTCACATTACCAGGCTAAAGTGGCACAAATCCGATTTTTTGCCCTAATGTGACTCAGATCTGATGTTTTCAGAGTTGTGTGGACTTTCATACATGGTCCTAGATCGGATATGTATCCGATTTGTGGCTGTGCGACCTTAATGTGATGCTCAGATCAGAATTCATGTGCTTTGACATTAATGAGAGATTTGAATCACTTACCTAAAAGAGTATGAACCATCATTTCAGAGAGATCGGATTTGAGCAAAAAGTCGGATTTGAGAAATCAGGCGTGTGATGTGAACGCAGCTTTTGTTTTCAAAAGAGCAAACATAAAGGTACAGCCAGTCTTTTGGGTTTAGCCTTAACCTAACATGGACACCAAACTGATTTCCTTTCCGGTACAACCTGTGGAGTTGCCTGACTCAATCCGATGCATCAGATGACGATGTGGTCTTGGACCATGCGTGAGAAACAAGCCGTAGACTAGGTGGTACTGAAGCCTGAATGACTAATAATTCACAAATTCCAGCAGTGCTTGGACTCACAACTATATGAGACAAGCACAAGAGACACTCCGGTGTCTGTACCCGTACCAGTATGTAACTGCTGCTACTTTTAAGGTAGAAGGGAATAAAAAGCAGTGAAAGACGTGAACAATATTTAGCTCTGTTTTTGCCAGGTGCACTCGGCTAGTGTTGGAAAGCAATACTGACGTAAGTTTATCTATATACTGTTCCATTTTGTTTTTATTATTCTGCAAAATTAAATTTATTTTAGATTTATGTTGGTTGTTAAAGTGGTTCTTATTAAGGGACAACCCAGAATAATAAGCCACTGTTAACCTAAATATATATACACACACACACACACACACACACACACACACCGTTATGTATACTGAAACCATCAGAAATGTTAATTATGATTATATTCTAACCAGTTGACATCTTTAACAAAAAACTTTGGTAGAGGTAGAGAGAAAAACATCATAGCAGACCAGAAACCTACCCACGGCAGCAATAAGCCCCTGAAACTTGATATGATAGGGGCTGCATAGACTAGTCAACTTGTTAAGGACAGTGCGTCAAATACAGTGACAGTAAAATCTACAGTAAACAGGCTGGAGAATAGAATAGAAACCAGTTCTTCTGCTAAACGCAAACCCCAAAGCACTTTATTTATGTGGAAATATACAATATACAAAATGTTCTACAGCAAACTGTAAAACTGTGCTGAAATACAGTCTCATAATCCAGATTGAGTAGATTGCAAGAACCACCTTCTCTGTCAAAAAAACAACCAATCACAGACTAAAAACGAATTTTCATTAAATAATTCAGGTACTGTCAGCAAACACAGAATGATAAATTGCCCTGAAAGGTTTATTGGTGTGTATCGATCATATCTTTCCCGTTGGACTGATAAAAACAGTGCACGGAAGTGTGGACAGCCAGAGCCAGTTTAAATTCTCAGTGAAATGGCCATATCGCTGTTGTCAGAAGAAAACCTCTTATCTCCAAAATGGTACCTTTACAGGAGAAGGAAAAAACCTACTTTACTTTCAATTTAAGTCAATGGAACCAGACGTTTTTCCGAGTCATTTTACGTTGTTTCTTTTGGTCCACTCATCATGAAATTTACACACAATGTAAAGGATGACAAGTATTTTCAAATTATGTCAGAAACTGAAAAATGACAATAACGGAGATAGAAGGTTTTCTTCCGACACCAGCGACAAAACGGACAGAAAAACCCATGTATGTAACCCTCTTCACCAACCAGCTCCAAACCTTCCCTCTTTAGTGTTTAATGAGCGCTTTCTTCGGGCAAAACACAATGCAGAGGGCTATTTTTTGAAAGAAGATGAACGCAGAATGTTGTAATTTCCAGAAAATCTTTATCATATAATCTGACGTGCAGCATAACGAAAGTCACACAGTCTAACATGGAATTTGGCCAGGGCTTTATTTGCAGGAGCTCATGCAGTGCGTTGTGCAGAAAACATATGAGACCCCTGTTATTGCGCAGTCTGCAGGGGGCTTTACTAAAATATATTAAAAAATTCTTCTGTAATGCAGAACCTTACACCTCAAACAGCTGCATCTGCCACGAGCCATGGTTGGTTTGGATTTAAACCATACATTAGGCTTAATCTGTGCTGCAACAAGCTAGATCTGGAATCTCCCAGACTAAATCAGACACCTACATACATTCATGTGACTGTAAGAGTTGTATCATATTTTCTACAGCTCACTATATATACACACCACAACAAAAGGTGAATTAAGCAGGTTGGTTAAAAAGCAGCATTCGGTATCACCTTGTGACATGTTGCACAAGCACCTTCAGCCCCTGTTTGGGTGCATGCTGACATAAACGGTGATAAAAACAACACTGATGCTGTTTATCACTTGCAAATGCACGATTACTGCTGTGATTGTTCATCCCTAAAAAGAGCTCAGCAACACTGAGCTAAAGTACAAGCTTATGCCATCAGTTTATTGTATCAATGCTTAATAACCTTGTTACACTTGTTAGTTTCAGATCAATCGTTATGGCTAAACCTGATGCTGAGCTGCATGTCTGATGCACTTATTTTGTTCTGGGACCCCTCTTTGACCTATCTGCCTACGGATACATCACTACTCAGTGTTCAGGGATCTAATTATATACAAATTAAGCCCTGATTGCACACTAATTTGGATACAGTTAAAGGAAAATTTCAGTCAAATGATTCTATGCTAACTGGCCACACTACATTTCATTGATTTCCTTTAAGCAGTTTCCAGCTCTGGTGAAATACCTTGCTTCGTCTGCATCACACCGCTGCTGTTTTCTAGTGAGCTTTCAGCTTTTACAGAATTTTGGCTGCTTTTGTCACTTGTGTGTGAAAACTGAACGTACTGCAACTGAATGTATGACAGGAAAGCATAATACATCCACAAATATATCATGCCACAAAGGAAAAGAGTGCAATAATGCCATCTGGAGGAAAAATGTGCAATACTGAAAAAGAGCATTACCAAAATGTGAAGAGATTATGTGATACATATATATATATATATATATATATATATATATATATATATATATATATATATATATATGACTTTTTTGGAATAGTCTCATAGTCCCATAAATTATAAGTCATGCAGATGAAGTTGTGCAAAATTATATCTAATTTGTTTGTCCTTAATATCTACACTAGAAGGTTTTGTCAAATGTGTCTGTGTGTGCTGAATTTTTACATTATTTCCTGAGCATACAGTCCCCTCCAAATGTATATGCACAGTGCAGTTGGAACTTTTTTATTTATTTATTTATTTATTTTTTGGCTGAACAGACAAGAACTTAAGACCGAAGATGGAAACATGAGTATGGGTTGGCAAAAGCAGAAAACGTCATCGTTTATTTATAACTATTTAAAAAAAAATAACCCCTTGTAGCACAAGTAGCCTCGAGGATGATTTTAGATACATCCACTTTTATGTCAATATAAAGTAATGCCTTTGAGAGACATAGTCCTAAAATTAGCAAAACAGCGCACTTAACGGTCAACAAAGACTAACTCAATGGGAGATGAGATGTTATAAATATCGTACACTGTGGAAAGAAGGAAAAAAAAGAACCCCCATGGACAATCCAAAGTACACAAGCACATCTGCTGAAAATGGATCACAAATGGTCATGGCTTAGGAAGGACTGCTTTGGCAGCTTATTTTGGCTAACTCATTGCTGATGTAATTAAAGATGGTCACAATTAAATAATTATGGCCTGTTTGAATCCAGCCTCATTTTCGGAAACCCCCTTTGTGGCTATGGCTGTGTTTACACTTGGCAATAAAATACGTCCCATGTCTGGATATCGTCCGTTAGTTGAGCATGGATTGTCATAGTATCTGTGTGCGGCCAGCTTGGCTATATTCATGGCTTAACATCACATTCCCTCTGCCCACAACTTTCTCTATCATTCCCTTCTCTCTCATTAACAAGTTATTTCATGGATTTGCATGGGTTTCTAAATGTAGACTTACCAATGCCAAATATTAAAAGATATTTGCCGGATGTGAAGGACAGTACGCGGTTCTCTCACCACTCCCAGCTTCCAATTTTTGCGTTTTAAAATGTGTCACGTCGCAATTCATAATGCAAGGGTGAGCTGCATTCTGAGCGCTACAGCGAGGGGCGCTATAGCGACAGCCAAGCATGACCAAACAGTTTCATACCCCCATTTTGCTTTCTCCTGGTAAACTGTCTAAACAAACAAGCAGTTGGAACATGCATAAGCATATTCATATATATCACATCATCACTCTGACAGTACAGGTTAAGAACCTAACACTCCTCTACTGTTCACATGTTTAGATGTTGTGGATGCTGGAACGGCAGCAGCTACTTTTCTGATATGTCCTCTAGCGCCCCCTTGACTACTGAGTGTTTTAACTGCCACAGTAATGTAAGAAAGCACAGTGTGTTGGTACAGAAAGGCAGTGCGTTTATAATTTGTGTTTGTTTTTGGCCTAACACATCTCCATATAAAAGCTGGGTGATGTTTTAGTGAGTGGACACAGCGGGGTCTTCAACACCCCCTGTATATGTAGAGTCTGGCGCACTCATTTCTCCCCGCTTCCCTTTTAGTTCTGCTTCAGTGACACATCAGACTGGGAGGGTTGGATAGAGGGAAGTCGATCACATGCGCTCATCAGAGTATTAGGCCACGCCCGACATTTCTGAGACAGGTCTAATCAATGATTTTTAATCTAACTTCGCTGGATTAAACATTGGATATGAGTTTTTTTCCAACAGTGACAATCCATAGGAAGTTTCTACTTTAAAATGTCTACTTAGTAACATAAAATGAGAGCACAAAATGTATCATTATTAGAAAATAAAAAGCACACTTCTAAATGTACTTGAAAAAAGGTGGTATGTTTGGACTCATATTTCATTTTTCATCTTCAATCCTAGTTGCTTGACACCCTCAGTACATTGACAGGGCACTGTATGCAAGATGCACATAAATACATACAGCATAAACAACCCTTCATAAAGTAGATATTTGAATATGTGTACATTCAAAATGTGTGTCACTTTAAT